GAACGGCACAGAGCCAAGCTTCAATAGGTTCTAGAATGCCGCCATCTCCTGCTCTGCCCCCACCCCCAAATCTCAGTGGCTGCAGAGCCAGCGGCGGTGTAGGAGCCTATGTGCCCAGGAACCCCAGGTGGGGTATCACCAGCCATCCAGAGGCCACAGATGGGAAAGTGCCCCAAGCCCTCAGGCCCAGGGCACCGCTTGGGGTCTGTGAAGTCTAAGAACTTTCTCCTGGGGGCGCTGGGCTATGTTACTCTCCCAGCTGACCTCCCCAGGGCAGGGGCTGCCTCTGTGTATCCCAGGGGACACCTTGCCTGGAGAGGCGCTTGTGGGAGAACTGAGTGGTTCATTCTATAAGCCCTACACCCCATGTCCCCCTGGGGCTCCCTGGACACCTGTCTTCTCAGCTCTGCAGGACTGAGTCCGCTGAAACACTGAGCCTCACTCAGAGCCAGCTCAGACCTGCAGGTGCCAGACCACGATGGATGAACGGCTCCCAGTTACAGGACCCCAGATTCCCCACACTTGGGGCGTGAGATCAGTGGTGACACACAGCCCTCCCCAGGTGGAGCCCGGTTCACCAGACGCTTGTGGGGAGGTAGACTTTGGTCCTTTCACTCAGGGGAGAAATGATACCTCAGCCTTCACAAGGCATTTGGGCAAGATCCTCTTGGTCTTACAAATAAAAGGAAACCCAAGTCATTGCCCTCAGAAGCCTCCCAACAACGCACATCTGCCCATCATTGTGGCCTCCACCCCAGGATGCTCCCCGCTCATCTTGGAGGCAGCTGAGGCCAGGGCAGCCGCGTCAGCCCCTCTGCCTCTCCAGCAGCTGCAGCCTGGGCCGGGCTGGGCTCGGCTGGGCTGCTGTCCACAGAATCTCTAGAGCCCTGTCCCTGCAAGTGGCCCTCATCCATGGACTTCTCTCCGACACAGAGCCCCGCCCAGCACTCCAGGACCCTGAAGTCCATAGCAGCTTGTACAGATTTTCCCACCTCTTCAATAGGGGGCCCAGTCATGCTCTATATTGCCATCCTGTCCCTTGTCCCCGAAGGAGCTGCCCAAGGGCCACCCACGGGTCTGGACACCTTAGCAAGCCAGCTTGTTGTGCCCTCAGCTGCCCACTTAGGAAGCACATTGCCGAGGCCCCGGACCCACCGGCTGGCCAGCTCTGGCCTTGCAGACAGCAGGTCCCTGGGCCCTGTGGACGCGTGTACAGCCTAAGCCCTTCCTTCTCCGTTCTGGGAAAAGTCAGGAGGCTAAGCTGAATTGTGATGCGGCACCCACCCGGCGGGCTGGGCTCTGGGTGGGGCATATTCCCTGGACCTGCTCCCTGCAGAGGGAGGGAACAACAGTGGCCGGCGAGGAGTCCCCTGAGCACCGTGGTCCCCACGCACTCTGAGGGCCGCAGGCACTGCTCCAGTAGGAGCCGCCAGTTCTCTGCGGACCCCTGGCCCCCAGCACAGCGCCTGCACACACAGATCAATTTGCTGCATGGACGCAGGTAGGAGCAATACGGGAACACGGCGATCCCTCTCCCTTCCTGGTCACTTCACATGGTAATCAAAGGCCCTCGGGAGCAGCTCTGGATTACTCTCTTTCCACAAGGAAAACAGAGACAGCAACCAGCTCACTTGAGACGTGGGGAGTGAGGGCTGGGGGCCGGAAAGCACCATCTCTCCCTTTCCAGCAGCTGCAGGGCGTTGCCAGGGCAACAGAAGGCAGCCTGACAGGATTTGGCAATTTAACTCTTACTCCGCACAAAACACGAAAGTGAGAACAATTTAACAGATGTTCTTGCTTCCGACAGTTCACGCAACAGAGAGAAGCTTATGCTGCATCTGGTCTGGGCCAAGTTGAGGCGCTTCCGACTTCCATGTGGTGCCGTCTCACACCCCGCAGGTGCGGGCCGCCGGCTCCCTGGGAACCAAAGAATGGTCTTCAACGTCCCAAGAACCAGGCTCCCCTCAGGGCGCCGAGCTCATGTTTCAGCCCATGCTGAGGGGGTGAGCTGGGGTCCTTTTCAGGTCCAATGATGCCAACTTCAGGGGACACCAGTATTACTTGGGGGGTGAGGAGAGGGTAGCTGGGCCCCACCCTCAGAGTTTTAGATTCAGTGTGTCTGGGGTGGGGCCTGAGAACTTGCATTTCTAAGTTCCCGAAGAATGCTGATGCCACCCGCCAACCGACCACCTTTTGGGACACTATATACATGCAGCCTTGCTACTCAAAGCACAGTCCTGTACCAGCCGGGTCGGCGTCAGCTAGACGTCCGTGAGGCATGCGAGTTCTCAGGCCCCGCTCTCAGCCCTCCAGAATAGCATCTCTGCGGGCGGGGTTCGGGAATCTGGGTCTGAGCAAGCCCTCCAGCTGATTCTGATGCACCCTGACGTTCGCGAAGCGCAGGGCTAGGGCAGCGGTTCTCAAACCTTTGCTGCACATTAGAATCGCCCGGGGAGCACTTTCCGTGCCCAGACTGTGCCCCGATCTTTGGGCGTGGGGTGCGGGCCTCCGTTGTGTTTGAATCTCCCCAAGTGATTACAGGGCACGGCCAAGCCTGAGAACCACCAGTCTAGAGCCTGGCGACACAAGGGTGGCCTCAGCATGACCCAGGAGCTGGCCCGACATGCAGAATCGCAGGCCCTCCATCTACTGAACCAGAATCTGCATTTCAAGGAGATCCCTGAGTGACTGGTGCACAATCAAGGGTAAGTTCCGGTGACACCCCTCCCTGCCCATGCCTCCTGGGGGCATAACTTATGAACAAAGCACTCGTCTTCTCTGAGACTCAGTTTACTCATCTGGAAAATAGGTTTGCTACATAACCCAGGTTTGGATTATATCAATTAGTAGATGAAAAGTTTCCCTCTGACTCAAGCAGAACTAGACAAACGCGGGTCCCTAACCCCACACAGGTATCCCCAGCCAAAGAGAAAACAGAGAAGTTGGAGTAGGCACAAAGGAAAGAACTAAAACAGAGTTAGGGGCAAGACGGGGGTCATTACGAAAGGTCAAAGGGACCCTGCAAATTTAGAGACAAGGATCTGCCAGCCCTCTAAGCACAAAGGGCCCTTGAGGAGAAAAGGGAAGCAGCACCTGCGCCTTCCGCTGAGGGCTGCGCTCAGGTGCGCTCAGGTGCGCTCAGGGATGCGGCCAGCCCTACGCCCCCAGCCCGGGGCCCCGGACACTGACCGTGCTGGTGGTCCTGTCCCCCAGAGAGCTTAATACCAAGCCTGACCTCCATCTGGGACAGTTTATCTGCAATTCGGCCAAAGACAGGTGACTTCGTCCAGAACTGGGGCTCGGCCTTTCACCTGGATGAGGGAAATGGGCAAGTGTCTGCCCTCGGTCCCCACGTGGGTTCTTTACAAAATGCCATGTGCCCCCAGATGCCCACAGAGCCTGCTGAGGCCCACCTGCTCAGGTGACAATGCACGTCAGAGCCCTACATGCTCCCCACAGAGGGGCGTCGCTTACAAAGGACTTGGGGCTGATCAGCAACCCTTCCCTCGGCTCAGGTGGTGAGAGTGAGCCGATGGGTCTGGTCAGACACCGCGGGCCGTTCCTCCTGCTCTGATGTCACGTCACCGCCATCCACGTGCCCCTCTGGAGGCAGGAGGAGACAGACAAGTTCCTGGATTGTACAAATGCCCCTGCCGGCCTAAAAGGTCAGGGGACCAGGTCTTGGCAGCAACACAGTGCTGAGTGGGGACCCGGGGGACGCAGCCTGTGTGTTGGACCCAAATCCACCACCATCCACCATGTGATCCTGGCAGGTCGAGACAGCCCTCTGTGCCTCAGATTTCCATATGTAAAATGAGGGCATTGGACCAAACATTCTCTCAGGTCCTCTGTGGCCTGAATTCTCCTCATCTGGAACCTAACATATGAGTCCACACTATTTACTGAGTGTCACCATGTGCCTGGGCTGTCCTGGTACCAAGGCACAAAGTCTCAAGTTAATAACACAGCAGGCCCGCCCTAGAGAATTTAAACATGAAACCACCAGGACTCAGAAGTGCCCCCAATGCACTGAGACTGATGTTTGTGAGAAACAGCCTGTGAACTGCCCATTCCTGCAGGTTCTCAGTGCTGGTCCTCATCAGAGAGGATTCATTCATTTGTTGGGCCTCGACTTTAAGTCAGGTAGCATATATAGAGTATGTTATCTTAACTGCAGAAACACCTTCCCTGGGATAAAATTTAATGTCTTCACTGTCAGATTTTATGAGGGGGCAAAATGAGAAATGTCCATTTGTAACAAAAGTTCACCCAGACATTATCATTTTTGACTGTGATATGAGGACTCAGGTAATAAATTCCTTCAGAACCAGGAAGATATCTCTCTCTTAAGGAAAATCTCAAGCTCCCTTTGATCAGAGAGTATAACGTGTTTCCCTTTTTGCCTCAGCTGCTGGGAAGCTCGGTGATTAACTGAGCTGTCAGCTGCAGTCCCATGCATCGTTGGCACCTGGCACCTCTACCCTTTGGCCTCTTGTAACTGAGATTTTATTATGTATTCTTTTGATTTTCCTGTACCTGTGTGTTTTACAACTGTGAGCAAGCTTAATACCTTTTGGAAATGAGTGGGGATAAATATTCCAGGGAGTCACAGAATGCGAACACTGAAAGAGACATTCTTTCAGGCCAAGAAAAGGTAAGTGACTTCCTAAAACTAGTCAGTGGTTTGTGACTAAAAGGGACCCAAGTCAAGACCCAGTTCCCTGCAAGTGCTCTCACTACCTTCATTTCCACATTCTTCTCCAGGGACCCCGGCAGCAGTCCCTCTTACCAGTTGGGAAGCTGAGGTCGAGGACAGACATGTGCTGTGCACACTAATGTGGGGGTTCTGGCTGCCCCCACCCAGGCATGCTGAGTCCTCTTCCCCAGACCCTGGGCCAGCATGGAGCCAACTGCTGGAATGAGTAACTCACCAGATCAGAAACATTAGTGTCACTTCTTGCAGCAGGTGACAGATAAGGAAATACTTCTTGGGGCCAAATTTTCTGTTCCTGATTTCCTAAAGAGGGTCTTTCAGTCCCTTCTCCTCACAACGCTCCCTCCACCTCTGTAATTCCTACGAGAACCTTATCCCAGGGGTGGCAATCAGTGACGTGTCTCAGTACCATGGACCTGCTATTAAATACTCGCTAAATAGTTCTGCACTGATTAGCCACAGGCTGGTACACTCAGAGTGCCCCTGCCCTCAACTGCCCTGGGTTCATCCCAGCACAGCAGGGGCCTCGGGGCCACCTTCCTCCCCAGGAGGTCGGCCGATGCCTGTGTCTCACAGTCTGTTTAGTATTTTGAGTATCAGCCCAGCCTCGGCAGAACAGAGCTTTTCAGGAGAAATAACGTGGAGTTTGGAGTTCGACATTAGACCCAAGTTTGAGTGCCTGCTTTGCTAATTACCAGTGTAGGACTTGGAGCAAATTACTCAAGCTCCTTCAGGATTATATCTGCCTTGCAGAGTTGATAGTAGATGGACAGAACATACATGTAAAAGTGCTTTGTAAACTCTAAAGGGCCACTGATTATTGTCAAGTCATATGGTCTTTCGATGGATTAGCACGGAGGGAAGAGGGTAAGCTTGTTAAAGCTACATGGAGATTTGCAGATATTAATTACTATACGTAAAACAGATAAACAACAACGATTTACTGTATAGCACAGGGAAGTATATTCAATATCTTGTAATAACCTATAATGGAAAAGGATCTGAAAAAATTGTGTATGACTGAATCACTTTGCTGTGCACCTGAAATTAACACGATGTTGTTAAACAACTACACATTCAAAAAAAAAGAAAAAAGACATGATTTTTGGAGCAGAAACTGTCACCTGCATCTCTCCAACTTCCGGATTTTTGCTCTTCTGATTCCACATCTGAAACCTAAAGGGCCCACCGACTTGAGCCTGCTTCCCACTTTGTTAGAAGGAGTGACAGAAACGGAAGGGGACTGTCTCTAGTTCCCGTGCACCACCTGGGGCCCAAGGGACATCCGGTAACAGTCTACCCCTGCCCCTCCCCCTACTACCACCTAAACCATAACTCACCCCAATTCAGAACAGATTTATCGGACAGAATAGATTTATTTCCTGATATGCACATTCAATGACCTTCAAAGATAATTCATAAATACACCATGCAATTTATTGTTATTTAATGTTATGCATTAATTAATAATTTTTAAGCTATCCAACATTTGCCAATTTGAAAAACATAATATAACATTCAATAACTCTTGTCAAAACTTAATAAATTTCCATATATTTATATATCCTGGGAACTGTACTCCATCTCAAACAAATTAAATAATGCATGTGATATGGTGGGGGTGGGGGTAGAACAATTTATTAAAGCCTGATTTAATAGGAAAAAGGTGTATTTTATGAGCTTTTTATTAGGGACTTTTATACATTCTCTTCCAAAGAAACAGTGTGACACCCTGAGGCCCCCTGCTCACGGTGGCTGTTAGATGCAGCGTTAGCCTCTGACCCTAACACAAAAGGAAACAGAGTTCCTTTGCCCTGCCTGCCCAGCTCTGTCCTAGGCCCTCCTCTCTTCTCTGCGTGACTTCTTTGCTTTGACAAGCCACAGCTCTGCTTCCTAGCCACAGCTCTAGGTAACTCCACACAGAAGGTCCCCTCTAAGCAAATTACCTTGCTGCTGTGCCTAGCCTGGCCGGCCCTCCCATCTCCACACCCAGCCCTCTGTTCATCCCCCTGCCTAGAAGTCCCACTACTCCCCTCCTCCTATCCAAGTCCTGCTTGAGTATTGGGGCCCAGCCCCATCAACCTCCTCTCTGCAGTCTCTGAATCCCCAGCTGGAAGGGCGCTTGCCCTCCCCTGCGGGTCTCCTGTGGGTCTTGTGGCATATCTGACTCTGCCTCCTTTCCCACTCTCTCCCACCAAGAATGGCTCCTTGGAGGGCTGTGGTCCACTCATCTGGTCCCCACATCCCTGCAGGGCCCAGCATGGCTCAATACACATAACACAAACTGATGTTCCTTCATATTTGCAGAAAAAGGAGCATTGGCAGGTTCAGGAGTTCTGGTGGCCCTGGTGGCCCTGGGTACGTCAGATGCACAGGGCAGCCAGCGTGCTCCTGGTTCCTGGGGGAACTGTCTGGAACCCAGGCCAACTCCTAAGGAGATGAAGCAGCATCACTCACCACATCAGACCCAATCCCTCTAACAGTCTCCTGTCCAGGAGGGCTTCACAGACTCCCGTCCCTCTAGCCACCTTGAGACTGGAGGGACTAGAGACAGACATTTTGAGGTGGCAGTAGGACCCAATAAGTTGTTGCAGGAAAAAAAAAAGATCCCCAAAGGAAGCTTGTAGGGGGAAAATACCAGGTAAATGCAGATACTTTTTTCAATTTAAAATTCCTATCCTGTTTCCCCCAAAACCTCTGTGGTCCGCTATCACTTACCCCCCATCAGGGCTCACAGAGGTGGGTCTGAGAGCACATGTGGGAAGTCAGTCAATTTTCTGGGAGTGAAACCATGAAGAGCTCCTACAGCAGGATTAATTCTATCCATTGTCCATGTGGTTTGGGATCCACAGCTGTCTTGTACGCGGGCCTGAGATGTCCTGAACCAAGGCCCAGCACAGAGCCAGTGGGCACAGCAGAGGAGGGCCAAGTGGAGGAGACATTTCCAAGACAGAGCCAACAAGCTTCAGTGACAGAGCAGACATGAGGGTGAGGACAAGGCTTTGGGAAGAGACGAAGGGTTTCCAGGAAGTGCCCAGGTCTTGCTGAACCCCACTGGCAAGGGGGTTGGATAGAAGTAGTTTAAAGAGTAAAAGAGAGTGAATCTACCATTTCCAACCCTGAATCTAAAAGTTAATAGAATCATAGGCCCAGGGGACCTAGAATAAACCTCCAAATTTAGTACTCTCGCTATACTTTCCCGAGTAATAAAAGATAACAAAATTTCTTGTAAAGACGTCCAGGCAGTGACATTGCCCATCTTCCTTCTATAACTTGTTCTAGCAGCCGACTACCCCCGTGTCCAGAGATTTTCTTCCTTATAACTAAGTTTAATCCTTCATGCTCTAGTTTGTCTTTCTTTGATTATTCCTTCTTTCTCCAATGGAAGTGCTGCCATTTCATGGTAAATAACAGGACATAGTACTATCTAGAGATGTCACATCTCAAATCCAAAGGATGGCTAATGAGAAATTAGGCAAATCCATGAATTGTACTCTAGTTGCAGAGACTAATTGTTTAGAAAGAGCTTATGGCTTGGAGTAAGGCTAGCTGCCAAGCCTACACAGAGTAAGGCTCATTTCACCCGAACGAACTTCCGTGCACGGAAGCCCATAGTCAGCACAGAAGCCTTGGCTGCTGCCCTACGTCGAGGCTGCCACGAGGGAAGGACTTTAGAGTGGAGATGCAATCTTTTCATCCCAGTGAAGTCTGCACATGTCAACTCAACTCTTCATGATGTCTTTCCCATCAGCTCTCTTCCAAAGGCAAATGGCAGGTGGCAGAATTCATAGGTGGCAGCAAAGCGAAGATAAATAAAAGATATGGTGAGAAGTGCACTTTCCCTTTGATTCCTCCCAGTTGAAGATCATCTCCAGGAGAGTAAATAAAATGCTTACTTCTACAAGAAAGAAGGAAGTCTGGGGAGAAGTCCCATGTGTCCTGGTTCCTCTAAGATGACACAGTTCAATGTATTCAAAAGTGACAGTCACACCAGCTCTCCAGGCGCAGCCCCACCTCTAAAACAGAACACGCAGCGCTCTTTACAGGCGACCCTTTCTCCTTCATCTGCCTCTCTATGCCTCCCTACGTGGGCCGTGAACCTATGTTTGATCCACTCCCAAGGCTGAGAAGGAATTTTAGTGGCTCCAATGTGACGAGAAGAAAAATGGGGAAAATGTTCCAATCGCTGTCAAGTTAGTATCGGTGAAAAGGCCACAGTCCAGGAGAGATCCCTCTGGAGTCGGTTTCATGAGCTTATAGGAAGGGATTGGGTGCAAGTGTGAAAAAGGATTAGAAACTGATTTGCGGCTGGAATCAGAGCCCCCAGCACTTCTCAAAACCTCCACACGCTGCGACCCCCACTTGCAGCAGCTGCGGATGCTGAAGTAGCTGAAGGAGGCTGGAGTTCGGCACAAAGACGGGAAGGTATTCAGGGGGGCATGACTGCAGGTACAAGGACAGGCTGGGAAAAAAGCCCTTGGGGAGGGTCGGCCCCCCATTACCTCTCCTTTCTAGCTGTGTGACCTTGGGCAAGCCATTTAACTTCCCTAAGCCTGTTTTCTTATCTGTACAGCGGGGGGTACGTGCCAATTACCTTACAAGATCCTAAGAATCAGACGAAAGAATACATACAAATGTATCTTGCAATTTGTAAATACTATTGTACAAATATAAGCTCTGAGGTGGATCTGGAGGAAAAACAATGTAATAAAACAAACCTAAAGAAAGTAAAAGAGCAGAATTAATGTGGATAAAGAGTTAATGAATAAAAAAATTTTAAATGTAGAGTTGATAAATTCAAGAGCTGCTTCTTTGAAAAAAGGTAAAATAAATTGCTAGCTATTGTAATCATGAAAAGGAGGGAAGAAAGCACAAATGCACAAACTAAGAAAAGTTACGGGGAAACCATCGCAGATACAGAAGATATCAAAGGGATCATATAAGACTTATTTGCTCTGTTCTACGTAGCTAACACTGCAAACCTGAATGAAACAGATTATGTCATAGAAATGTACAAATTACCAAAAGCAACCTTTGGGAAGATAGAAAAGGTAAAGAAAACAATTCTCATAGGGAAAATCAAGTGGTCCCAGCGCTGAACCCACAAAAAAGAACTGGGTCCAACTGGTTTTAGAAAAATCCTATCTAATCCTCAAGAAACAGACAAACGGCATACTATTTAAACTATTCTAGAGCACAGAAACTGAAGGAAAGCTTACAAATACTTTTATAAAACCAGCATAACATTGACATCAAAACCCAGAGAAACAAAATATAAATAAAACTACAGGCCAATCTTACTTAGAAATATTATTGCAAACTCTTAAATAAACTATTGGCGAACAGAATCCAGCAGGACAGCCTGATTTCCTCTCTGACATCCCCTCCTACCCGGCCCCGTCATCTTCCCCTACCCCGCCCAAGTGGCCTCCTTTGCTGCTCCTCATTCCAGGCAAGCTCCTGCCTCAAGGCTTTTGAAGGAAGCAGCAGTGCGTGGCTCCTTCCTCATTCCTCTCAGGTCCTTACTCAAGAACCATCTTCTCTGGGTCATGAGGTTAATGACCCTATCTTCCTTACTTGGGATTGTGTTTAAATTTCTCCATTAAAAATATTAAGTTGATTTCTCAGTGGTCGTCCCATCTAAAATTTTGGCACTCCCTCCAACAATACTTCATATCTGAATCCTTTGCTTTGATTTTTGTTCTTTGTCACTAACATTTGCCTTATTCATTTTATCTATTTTCTGACTCCCCTCTAGAATATAAGTTCCACGAGGGCATGGAATTTTAACCAGCTTTGTTTGCTACTGTCTCCCCATCACTTAGCACAGCTCCTGGTGCAAAAGAGGTACTCAGTAAATTTTTGCTGAATAAACAAGTAGATGAATAAACTCGGTCATTCTCCCTGAGACATTCATCCAGTGATTTTGTTTCACGAATCCTGGTCTCCTTTGAAATCTTTTGCTTTTCATTCCTTGGAAGTCTCCAGCAAGCCTTACAGACATTATGTAGACACATAGACACCACCGTCCTTTCCGGGAGAACTGAGAACCCAATTGTCATGCAAATGTAACCCACAATCTGAAAGAGTGGGGACTCTAAGCTCAATTCCATTTTCCCCCATCCGTTTCTGCTTTTCCATGCAAGGTGCACACAGACACAGGAGCCACTTAGGAGCCAGACTGTATAGATTTCTTTATATATTACATCAAAGGGGAATAACCCTGGGCCTGTTTTGAGGTCTGTCAGCAACTCAGAGCCAGAGGTGTAAAATATATCACAGTCACAGAAATTGGCACAAACTTAGGACACCAAAGAAAGAAAAGAGGTTAGAGAAAGTTACTGGTCCCAAATCTTCATCACACAATAAATCTGCCAAAGCAAAAAAAAGCCATGATTCTATGAATTCAAGGTCTACAATCTGCCATAGGCCCTGCTGTGGACTGAAGGTGCAGATTTACCCTTCCACTCGAGGCCTTATGGAGTGTTTTCCAATGACAAAAGTCACAACATTCTGGATGACTTACAGGGAGAGACACAGGACAGCACCCTGGACATGAAGGGTTTACACTGGCAATGAGAGTCCTGACCACCATTGAACACCACTGGGAACAAGCAACATCCTTCTGTTGATTCCCCACAACTACCTGTGTTAGGTACCACGAAACAGACAAGGGGGGTGACAGCTACAGCCTAGAAAGGGGCATGGGCTCCGTGAAGGTTATATTATGTAGGGAGTTGGGTAATGCCAAATTCCATGTGAATGCAATCACCTGGAGAACCCAGTAGTTAAAGGGAAGGAGTGAATAAATGACTCATTTGCTTGGATTAAGGGAAATAAATAGTGAGATACCCCCGAGGCTGACAAAAATTGTATGTGGGTTAACACTTTTCTTACAATTCCTTTGGTTGAACTGTCTGTGACAAGAACAAGACCGCCAGAGGTATCATTACACAATCACTTACAACGACATGAGAGTTAGCTGAAGCTTGGCAAAATCACAGGCCATGTGAGACATGAGATCACCAAAGTCTACATTAGATATAATTCTAAACACCAAACCCATTTCAGAAACTGAAAGAAATCATGGGGAAGAGAGAGGAGGCTAAAGCTACAGCTCTCAATATTGAGTGGCTGGAATAATAGGTTCAAATCGTGGGTCTATCATCTGATGGATACGTAACATTTAGTAGGTCCTTAGCCTCTCTAAATTTCGGTCTTATCCATAAACTGGGCCAATTACCAGTATCTCATAGAACTGAAGTTATGAAAATTAATGAGATAAAGCATGTAAAACACTTAGCATATGGCCTAGCACACAGTAGGTGCTGGAAAAGTATTATTAATAATAATGTGATGATGCACAGGGCAAAACACACAGGTTGTTATCCTGTCTAGGGCACAGACTATGAGAAAAAAGTGCCTCCTTATCACTGTGAAGTGGTCTGGCAGAGGTTATGTGAGAAACGATCTAGCCAAACCAGCCCCTCGTTTCTGGTATCTTTTCACTAACTTCTGTTTTGCTTCATGTGATGGCGTCCGATGAAACGTCATGATTCAGTCTTGATCGGTCAGTATTCGTGTGAGCAAATGGTCTGCAGAGCAGATCACAAGCTGGGGGTCAGGTTATGGCCGCTGCTGCACCATGTGATCTGCCGGAGGTTATCATTCCCTCCTAGCTGGCAGTGGCATTCCTTGTAAAATGTTGATTGAGATCATGATATTCACCACCTCACATGAAAAGTTGTAAAAGTGACCAACCCATTATAGATATATATTTTTTTCTTTTTACGTTTTGGAACAGCCTGATATCTGGATGGGTAGTGGTTATACTTGCAGTGATTTTCAAAGAAATGCTCCAGTACAAAAGAGTCGCTATCCAGGGGCTTTTAGCGTAGGGCTGGCGCTGGCCATTGTTCTGAAAAACTGCTCTCCCCACAGCTGCGCCCAGTAGCTGTCCATGGTCACAAGCTAGTGTGGCTGGGAAACAGAGTGTGGGGCAGGCAGCTGCGGAATATTTTACTGCTGTTTTCACACCAATAGTAGCTGGTGCTGCTGTCCATGGTCCTGAAAAGCCTTCTCTGGTCCAAACAGCAGCTATCCATGGTCACGGCCCACTGTGGTTCAGACTTGCTCTCTGTGTTCAAGATTTGCTCTGGCTGAAACTGCCTTCTTCTTTCCCTTTGAAAGTTCTAGTTAGTTCTTTCTTGATCCTCTTGCTAACAGATTAGTCTGGGGATCATTCTGATTCACAGGATTCAAAGAAGCAGGTTCAATTTCAAGATTGGTTTCGATGTTAAGATCTGAGCAAATTGAGTCTATCTTTTCTGGGACCTCAAGATCGTTACAGGTCTCAATTTTCAGAAAAACAACAGCTCAAATCAATATAAAAGCAGAGTCTAGGGGGTTTTCCACACAAAGAATGACCTAGGTTCCAGCAAGGTTCTCTATGTACTTGAGTGAGCAGTCAGTGGTGAACCTCTGGACCCAGACCAGACCAGAATCATGGTTTTTAGTCTAAATTTCATTAAAGTTGGAGTTGCAGGATTACTATCTTCAGTAATTTATCTTCAATATCTATTTCCTATCCACTCAACTTTCTTTCCTCATCCTATATAAGATAGCATTTTTCTTTTTACTCGTGACCATACATCCAGATTGGAATTCATTCAAACACTGTTCTTCTCTGATTCTGCTTCCAAATATATAAATTGTGTAAAGCCAAGTGGAAAAAAAATAAGTGGGAAAATTTAACTGGGTAATTCCATTCTCCACTTGGATCCTGGCTCCAGATTTCAGCTTCCTGTTTATAAACAGGTGGTTAACAACGGATGTCATGAGACAGCCATGTGATGGGTACAGCAGGAAGCACAGAACTGGGCAGGAGTCCCACCCGCAGGCCTTCACAATCTAAATATCAAGATCTGCACTCTTCAGGGAATGGAGATCTATAAATAGCAAAATGATGATATCACCATCTCCTAGCCTGTTGCTGTTCAGCTATCAATTTTTTTAAAGAGCTTACAAAAAAATTAATAGATGGTGTAAATTCTATAGCACCATTTAACCATAACACATACACACACACCACAGACCAACAGATTTTAGTGGTTACTTATTAGAATGAAGTATTCATCTACCCCACCTCTCTGACTGTATGCTGGAGACCTCGAGTCTAACGGGCCTCCAACGTCCCCTCCTTGCCTAGAGGGACAGAAGCACTTCTCTCAATAATTCGCTGACACTGTCTATAAAACAGGGGCTGTTTATTTGAGCAGTGAGAAACTCGAAACTCAGGGTTCAATTGTGAATGAGTAGCAGTCAATGAACATTTAAAATAAATCTGATGTATTAAAGGGAACTCTATTCCCTCTTGTTCCCATCATAAAGTGAGGCCTCAATTGGACATCAGGAAGAAGAACCTGGGAGGGGAGCTTCCACTTCCACATGACCTTGGACAGCTTTCCTGATCTCCTCCACCTTGCTAACCAAGCAGCGACTGTGTATGAAGCAAGACAATTTCGCATGTGGAGAACATGTCTCCAAGAGCCCGAGTGACTGTTTCACGGGAGATGGGAGGAGAGAGTGGTCCTTTAGGCACATCCACATGCCCCTAGGAGAGCATCACCAAGTGGCATCACTTATCTCAAGCCCAGCTCCACCAAGTTCCTGAATGGTGCTACCCTCATGCCGACCTGAAGCCACAAACCACCTCAGAAGGTGGGAGAATGTCACCCTTCCTGATTGACCTTGGATCCCTTACACTTCTTTTAAAAATTGGTGTCTGGTCTCTGTTAACAAATAAAGAGGAAGAGAAGAAGGTAGACGGGAAATCGAGAAAAGATTCTGTTTAAAAATGTATATGTGCGTGTATCTACATTGGTATAAATAGCAACCGAAACGGAACGTGGAGGGGCACGTGCTGCAGTCATAAAGTAATCTTCTGAGTGATGCTACTTTCTGGCCACCTGCCCTCACGTCCAGGCGAGGCTGTGATGCTTTTTATTCTAGTCACATTGAATGTCTCTTACGAATCCATCCATCTTAATCAGCACCTACCCCTCGCAGCAGCCCTGCAGTCAGGAAGCAGAGGAGCAGACAGCAGGAGAAGACAGGCCGTGAGGGCAGTGGTGAGAGGTGATGTCATAAAAGGAAGGAAGGAAGGAAAGGGGGTGCGAAAGAGCTGTTTAGGCAGGGGAGGGGTGCAGGCCCATCCATCTCACCCTTCTGCCTATATTTTCCACATTCTGAATGAATGCCTCCTTCCTGGGTGTGACTCTCAGCGAAGTGGAGGGTTGAACTGTGAGGATGCAGGCCTGTGTCTTCAGAGGGGACAAACTGCAAAGCTCTGGTTCAAGAAGCAGGTGTCCCTGCAACTGAAGCTCCTGATGCAGGGAGGGTCGAAGGGGTGCCGAGTAGGAGGGAGGTGGAAGGAGGTGAAGAGTGGGGGGAGGTGGGAGGGGGTGCAGAGTAGGAGGGAGGTGGGGAGTGCAGAGTAGGGGGGAGGTGGGAGTGCGTGCAGAGTAGGAGGGAGGTGGGGGTGCAGAGTAGGGGGGGAGGTGGGAAGGGGTGCAGAGCAGGGAGAGGAGAATGGCTGTCCCCCGCATCTTCTCTCTGCTCTGCCACTCTTTGCTGGGAGTCCTGTCACCATGGAGCAGCCCTGCCCCCAGACCACCTGACTCCTGACCCATTCACACACCCTGGCGCCTCCTCTGTGGTCCTTTGGAATGTTTCCATGGGAGTTTCAAACATCCCAAAGCCAGTCTCTTCTAAAGGGGGTCTAGGGCTCCCCACTCCACTCAGCTCCAGCTACACAGGCCCCACACCTGCAGCCTCAGCCCACCTCAAGCCACTGGAGTGGGGTCTGGAGAGAATTCTGTGCTCAGCAAGCCCCTGGGCCCACCCAGCCGGGGCCGGCCCCTATGGTAAGGCTTAGATCCCACTTGGTGTTTCACCTACCTGCCCCCGATCTCCTTGACCAGGGCCCTGGGCCCTGAGCCCCGCCCCTAACTGGGAGCAGAGGTTCCTCCATAAGTACCCCCAATGCAATGTGGCCGCCCACCAACATCAGCACGGTGGGAGCTCTGGGGAAATCGGCACCAATCTGACTCCAGCCTGAGCTCGTCACACGCTCCAGATCCTGTCCTTTTGAGTGACTGCACTGTCCTTACTGTCCCCAGGCCTGGCTCCTGGCTTGCTTCCAAGGGTGGCACTCAGCTAAGCCCCCTGGGGTGTGATGCTTCCCGGGTAGGACTCTGCTGGAAGACTTGTGCTCAAAGTTCAGGGTTTCTGGGAAACCAGCAGGAGACCCCCCACCAGATGAAGGGCAGAGGGGGGCTTCACGAGGCGACTCTCCTAAGCCTGGCCATGAGGTCACAGCTACTTTCAGAATCAAACCTAGAAAGTAGACTCAACCATCAGAGTTAGAAGTGACCTATGTGCTCCTTCCACAACCAGGACTCCATCCGGACAGGGCTGGGAGCTTCATCTGCTTGGCTCCAGCTTTCCTCTCTCCCCCTACATCTACTACAGGCCCAGCCCACCTCCTGAGATACTCCTGGGAATGACTTTTATTCCAGCTTGGATGGTGTTCAGCACCAGGAACATACTTTGCGGGACGCAGCAGGGCAGGGGGCTGAGCTGTGACAGGGTCTGGGGTAGGGGGATGACTCACTCAACCTCCTGCATGGGCAGTTACGAGGATTCAGTGCAGTGATGTCTATGTATTAGTCAGGGTTCTCTAGAGACACAGACCAGGACGACATATGTAGATATCAGAAGAGGAGACCGCTTATAGGAATTGGCTCACGTGGTTACGGAGGCTGAGAAGTCCCGTGATCTGCTGCCTGCAACCTGGAGAACCAGGAAAGCCAGTGATGTCATTCATTCAGTCTGAGTCCACAGGCCTGAGAACCGGTGGGCTGATGTCCGAGGGCAGGAGAAGATGGAGGTCGCAACTCCACAGAGAGTGAATTTGCTCTTCCTCTGCCTTTTTGTTCCAATGGAGTCTTTGGTGGACGGAGGAGGCCTCCCCACACTGGTGAGGGCCGTCTGCTTTACTCAGATCACCAATTCAAATGCTACTGTCGTCTGGAAACACCCTCCCAGACACTCAGAAATAACGTACTAGCTATCTGGGCACCACTTAGCCCAGGCAAGTTGACACTTAAAATTAACCGTCACAGCCTATAAACTATATCACAAAGGTTAGCTTACTCCAGAGTCAATTTTTCTCCTAAGCTGGTGTTCACTGTCACTAGGGCTGTTGGGAACAATATGGCTGGGCCATCATGACAGGGTCCCCATGGTTAGGACTTTGTATATTATTCTGTTGTCTGATAAAGTTTTGAGAGGTTACACATCCATGCACATGCATACATCTGTGCACATGGACACACACACACACCATTCATCAGTTCCCCATAAATCTCACATCCTCCCCTTAGCTGGTTTGGCTCCAAGTGTTCAGATCTCTTTGACAACATCTCTTCTCTTTGCTGAACACAGTCCTCACCTGACTGAGTGAATATGATCAGATCGATGAAAGATTTGCAGTTTACACTGGCCACGTGTCCTCGGCCAAGTCACCCTCTTGGGCCTAAGTTTCCTCACCTACATGATCACGCAGGTTGTAACAGGTCAATTCAAAAATTCCTTCAGGGCTGAAGTTCTGGGATTCTATGCTACAGATTTACATAAATTTAAATGAAGAGAGAATTTTTCAAGGAAGCAATCAAATACCGAGAAAATCAAATACTTTTCTTTGGTCATCTTTATCTGTTATCAACTTCTCAGATCAGTAATATTTTTCATAGATACTGACTTAAAACTGTACCTTTGTAACTCACCACAATTCTCTCTGTTCTGTGAGAGGCACTTCCAGGGGTGTGCAGAACGGTGGGTGTGCTAAGGTTTATAGTGGCTGGGTGTCCAGAGCTCTAGAAGTCACTTTCCTCCTTTGTCAGTGACTTCTGTCCTCTCCTGACAATGTTTTCTGACTGCCTCCAGCTAATCTGAGGAAAGGCTTTGAGTCGCTTTTCTATAGACTCAGCTTTTTTCTTCAGTTCTTCTATATGACAGAAGTTAAGTGTGAAGGGACAGAGCACACCTCTGGTCTACTGAGAGCAAGAAATGAAATTTTCCCAATTACAGGTTCCTTTGCAATTTTCCTTTTTGAAGAAGAATAAAACATTACACCCACCCATCCCCATTGTCTAAGTTTTTTGTCTTCTGTATACAAAGGCGGTGTTAACGGAAACGTGCATATACTTTTGTGTAAAGACAGCTCCTGTCCATAAGAAAGGGACTAGCCTTAGGGGAGAGGGAGAGAAATAACGTCTCTCCCCACCAACCAGACAGATGCTCGTGCACACAGACACGTGTGCACACGCATGTGTGCACACATCACAATCTTTCTAATTACATGCACTTTCTTGCCAGGGAGGACACCCCATGTCTCCATAATTCTCTCAAACCACTTCACCTGCACTGAATTTCACATCTCCTATATACACTTTATTATAAATGACTCCACTCAACAAAGACTTACAGGGCACCCTACATGTCAGGCACCCTGCTCAGCCCGGGGACCCAGCAATGACAATGATATCACACATAAGTGTCTCACCCTCTCTGTGTGTCAGATGCTGTTCTAAGAGCTTTACATGTCTTAGCTCCTTCAAACCTCTTAACAACCCCATGAACTAAGTACTATTATCATCTCCACTCTGCAGGCCAGGAAGACAGCACAGATGAACCCAAAGCCAGACAGTTGGAAAGGGAAGAGCCCAGACGTCACCCCAGAGTCTATGTCCTTAGCCACCTCGGAATGTTGCAGACCCTGCCCTCTCCTTCTAGCTGGTGAGATGCCATTTGAAAAAATAATTAAGGCACCACAGGTAGAATTTTTTCTTATAGATGAGGGTTTCAGGGAGGAGACCATTCCAGGTGGAGGGAACAGCACACACAATAGCCTACAGGTGTGAATATCTGCAGAGGGGCATGAAAAGCCATGAATGTATAGCTGGAAAAAGAATATTGGGTGGTGTGATGGTTAATTGCATGTGTCAACCTGACTGGGCCACGGGACGCCCAGACATTTGGTCAAATATTATGCTGGGTGTTTCCGTGAGGGTGTTTCTCAGTGAGATTCACATTTGAATCAGTAGACTGAGTAAAGTAGACTGTGCTCCCTAGTGTGGGTGGGCCTCATCCAATCAGGTGAAGGCCAGAATAGAACAAAAAGGTTGATCCTGCCCCGAATAAGACAGGAGTTTTCTGCCTGACAGCCTCTGAACTGGGATGACTTTTTTCCTGCCTTCAGACTCGCACTGAAACACCAGCTCTTCTTGGCCTTGAGCCTGCAGGACTACCACTATACCATGGCTCCCAGGCCTTCAGGCTCAGACTGAAATCACACAGCAGCTCTCCCACCATCTACAGATCTTGGGGCTCATCAGCCTCCATAACCGTGTGAACCAATTCCTTATAATAACTCTCTCTGTTTCTGTCTGTTTCTATTGGTTCTGTTTCTCTGGCAGACCCTGATCAATACAGGTGGGAAGTGCTGGTGGAAATGAAGATAAAAGGCAAGCTGTGTCCAAGTAACGAAGAGTGATTGAGATCATGAAGGACAAGAAACCAGACAAAGCTGTCTCTTGCCCCTCCTGGAGAATTAATTTCTCGTTAACAAGCAGCCAAGCCTGAGACTGTCAGAGCAGAATGTCAGGTACAACCAGGGCGAGTGGGTGGAGGACGACTGGGAGGAGATTGTGATAACCATAAAATAAGAGCGCCAGGAGGCATCTGCAGTCCTAATCACAGGATCCAGATCTAGAGATGGAGGCAGATCTAGGGAGGTCCCAACGACGGAGTTTACGGAGAGAGGGCTGAGGCCACGGCAGGGAGCGCAGGTCTGGAATGTCGTCTGTGTGCACAGCAGACGGGGTGTCACCACCTCCCCCAAAACAGAGTCAGGGGCTCACTCCCCACATCACCCATTCCTCCCACCCACCCAGCTGGCCCTGCCCAAGGCATGCCCAGAAAAGCTTCCCCACGACACGAGGAGAAGAAACCATGGTCACACACACACATCCCTTGGTTGTCATTTTGAGCTTAATTGTTTTAACACCAGCTGTCAGGTCTGTAAAATTCTTCTGTGGTACCAGTGACCTGCAAGATCTAGAATAACGAGACCGTGTTTAAAAATAGTCCAGATTCCTCGAATTCACTTCTCCTTCTCACCAGCCCTTCTCCATCTTCCTGACAGGCCTGCTAAGAACTCCACTTCAAATTTATGAGTACAAAGCCAAACACTGGGATTCAGATTTATTAGGAGTGGTAGGAAAAATGGTAGACAAGGGCGAGAGCTGGTGAAGCAGGGACCCGGCTGGTTTTCCAGAAGAGCAGGCCGGAAACCTCGGCGGACACTCAGACCTACACCCCAGCAGACTGACATTCCCCAGCTGTCTGCACTGGGTGATCACTTCCTCCACCGCCCCCAGGGCCGCAGCTCCCCTGGGCCCTCACAGGCAAGCTAAGTTCTGAACACCCCTTGGTGATGGGTCCAGCCGACCCCTGCAGCCCGGCCCACACCCCAAAGACTGCTCCTCCCGCCTCCAAGCAGTCTGGCAGCAAGCCAGAAGCCAGCTCCACAGACCGACAAACTCAAGGTCAAACCCTGCACAGCTGCCGACCAGCTGTGTGACTTGACAGCCAAACTCCTAGATCTCTCGCAGTCTCAGTTTCCCATCCCTAAACCCAGGTTCCCATGATCGCTCTAAGGATACACGTAAGTACAAAGCACCCTTCGCGCCATGACGGGAAGGTAACAAAAACACTTTTCTTCCCCTTTCTAAGCCAAGCTGTCTTACTCTCTCAAACACACTTTGGTAACAGTAAGTCAGGGAAACTTCCATCAAAATGAGCTGCCATGTTCACAAAGGGATTCAGTTGTGACATCACTTATGACACTGAGAAACCGGAGGCAAGTTCAACATCCAACCTTGAGGGAACGGCTAAGCTATGGCTCACCTCTTCCATGAAGTTGTGCGCAGGCAGTCAAATTCTGTTTCACTGACATGAGAAAACGCTCCCAATGTGATGTTAAGAGAAAAGCCCAGCATGCAGATTGTATTTATAATATGATCCCATTCATGTGAATGAAAACACTAACATAAAACTAGGCAAAATGTTGACAGATTATTTCCGGGCAGAGGATTTATCGGTGAGAGCTTTCTCTTTATTTAAGCTTTTGTATTTCCAGAGCAAAATGTTTGAAGATACAAATCAATTGTCGCCAGATTTCTGGTCTCAAAAGAGAAGAGCTGGGTTTATATCATGTGGGAAGGGGTGGGGGTGGGGGGTGCAGAAAGTCTTCCTAGACAACAAAATGAAGTTTGAAAAAAGCTGTTTTCCATATTTGACCGAACAGTGAGGTAGCGCAAGGAGCTGGAGAAATGAGTCTTGTTCTACATCTGCTTCGGTTGGTATAAACGAGTTGAAAGAAAGCTTTCCACTAAGTCTGGATGGTGGATTCAAAAGCGTTTGAAGCTCTGAGAGAAGGAGCAGGAACTGAGCCCACCTGCAGCCTTACTGCCCTGGCGCCCTCTAGTGAAGAAACAAGGTCACTGCAGCTAAACAGTTCACAAGGCTGAACCGTTGCACAAACGAGAAACAGGTAACGATGCACGCCAACATACTGTTTTCTTCCTCGCTGAGCACATAGTTGCATTTGGATACACATATGTTATATGCTTTGGAGCATAATTATTCTTTCCTAGAGATTCTCTTAGCTACTTCATCTCCTCAAGCCTTTGCCTTTCTGCTTAAGAAGGTCTCCCCCAACTTTAAACAAACTCTATATGTATCAGAAATCTGGATTTAGGGGGAGGAAAGAACAGAAGAGTCACTTGCTTCCTAGAATGATTTAGCACGTGGGGAATGAGAAACAGAGCTAACGTTCATTGATCACAGGCTAAGTGTTAGATGCCATACATATACTTTCTCCTCTTATTCAAAAACAACCCTGTGAAGGAAGAACCCCATTTCTGATGGGGAAACTGAAGCTCAGAGAATTAAAAAGTCACCCAGCTAGGAAGCGGCCTCTTAATAACACTCTGCCCTGAGGCTTCCTCAAATAGAAGCTCAGGAAGGCAGCGAGGAAGGGGCAGAGCCTTGGTTCTCATATATTCAAACTATTAACTCATGACAGCGATACGGGTTGATTCTTATTGAGCAAAAACTTGTCCAGTGTGTAAAGAAAAATTCTCCTCTGTCTCCTGGATCCAGCCTCCAGATGCCAATCCTGGGCCAGCCAGGCCAGTTCCAACCCTGCCTCCTGGTGCCTGTGCATCACGTGTCTGCAGGGATGAAGGGCTGCTGTCATTGCTGCATCTCAGAAGCTGGCCAGAGTTCAAAAAGGGGGACAAAGAGAGAGCCTGTGAGTGAAGAGGGCTGGGACAAGGTAAAGGAGGACATTTCTGGTCCTGCAAGCCACCAGAGCAGCCCCAGTGGGCACTCACAGTCAGTCCAGGGCAAGCAGGCTGGGACGTCGGGGCACCCTTGGCACTTCACGCTGCCCCAGTCCCTGCACACTCATCACCCCCTGCTCCCCACAGCACAGACCTCGTTTCCTCATCAGAACTTCTGGAATTATAAGGGTGACTCTGCCCTTCTTCTCCAGTAGAGGGATAAATCCATGTTGTTACTTGTGTGAGTTCCAAAAAATGTAGACTTATTCAAGTTTCCTGCCAGAAAAGCACAAATCACTTCAAACCGCTTCCTCCTCTAGTCTTGTCACAGCAGGAACTGCCTTCCCCACCGCTGCCCCTGTTGTCCTGGGAGGGCCAGCACCATCCTCCATCAAAACCCTCCGCTCTGAATTTCAAAGCACTCTGCCTACAGCACCGCCTCCTGTCTGGCAATTGCTGCATCCATGTATGATCTTCCCCTCTAGACTGAGTTTGTCGGGGGAGAATCACTCAGCACACACGCGTGGTGGGTTCAGGATCCTTACAAAGACCAAGTGCTCACAGAGTTTGTGGTTCTTTCCATCACCAGGGGAAGAAGGCAGGAGAAAGGAACTGCAGAGAACATAAACTGCCCAATATCAACGGCAAGTGGAAAGGAACGAGGTGTGGGAACTGTCCAGACCCTGAAGGCTGTCTCCCCTCCCACCCAGCAACATCCCCGACAGGTGATGCACAGGTGACAACTTATGGCTCTCCTCAGCCCTGACCACGAGACACCCCAGGCGATGGTGGCCGTGTTGAGTTCAGGGACCTTGAGCACTGTCTCCTTCCACCTCCATCACTGCCAAGACACGAGCACCACGCTGGGCACTCGGAGTGCTAGGAAAAGGAGGAGAAAGGGAAGCATCCAGGTGGGATGCAAAACTCACTTGTGGGAAGAATATGGGTACAGTTACAGAGGAAGTTACCTCTCGATGGAAACCAGTGATGAATCAGGGGTTTGAACAGGTAGTCCTCCTGGGGGCTCTAAAACCCAGAGAAGGGAGGTGACCGGCCCAGTTAAGGGCAGTACCGAGAGCACTCCCCAACTCCGCAGCTCCAAGATGGGGGCTCTACCCACTGTGCTGCCTCAGCTCACAAAATTCACAGCCAGGGAGGACCCCACAGGAGGCTCAGCTGGGACTGAACAGTTTAATTCAGGAAGGATGCCCTCCACCCCGTCAAAGCAAGTGAGCCTTGAAATAATTGATGTATTTTTTACTATGTATTTGCTCTATGCAAGACACTGAGGAAGCAGAGATGCAGCTGCACAGAACCTGCCCAAGAAGTGATCGCACTGTAACCGAGGAACCAGTGCAGTGTTTCCCTCACCATCACCACCACCATCACCATCAACACTGTCATCACCACCACCATCACTACCATAGTCATCATCACCACCACCATCACTATCAAGTCTGTCATCATCACCCGTTTATCACCAACACCACCACC